GACTCACCTGTTAATTTACATTTTCGAACTACTGAATCTTTAGCAAGGCCTTTGGTAAAGTATCGCCAAGCTCCAGATCCAACCTGGAAAGGCCCTACACTGCTGATCACCTGGGGTTGTGGCTACGCTGCCATGGAAGATCCTTCTAGTAGACAAGCCGTGTAGGTTCCAGCGCGCTGTGTTCGTCCATATCATGGCATGGCATCGGGGCCTTCACAACCCGATTCTGGATTTCAATCTTCATCTGAACACAGAAGTCCGGCTTCCAAGGTCGAAGCACCCGCAATTCATCACTTGGGGCCAGGTTAAATCTACTACATATCAAGCTCAACAACAACTGCAACAGGCCTCATTACCTCAGGCTCCTGAAAATCTTGTTGCTGCTGTTTTTGCTATTATTACTGCTAATTCTGTTACAATTTTACTTTGTATTTTCTTGTTTATGATTAATGGTGTTTCTGCTCAAAATGACACTTCTGTGGTTCTTCTTAACTCTAATTTGTGGGTTCGTCGTGCCCAATACATGTTTATGACCCATGGCACAAATATTACTTTATACTATGAGCCCCAATGGCATTTGGTCAAATTTCTTTTACCCCTAACTTGATCATGTCTTCTACATTTATTGTCTCACAACTACAATCTATTTTACACTCCTGGCTATTTTCTAAACCCCCTATGCAATTGAATTCTGTCCGTTGGCGTTACTTGAAAGTTAGCCAATTTATAAGGGGTCTGTGTTTCTGTTGTCACGCTAAACATACTTGGCTTCATAATTGGTCTGATTATGATGCTGCTCAGCACATATTAAAAAAGCTAGGGAATTATAGTTATTGTTCTGACTACTATTGGTTGTCAGGTACCTTTAATTCTTCTTTGCATGGAATTAATATAGCTCCTGATATGTATCCTGACAATTTTCCTATTTTTAATGCCTCTGATCAACAAATATGTGGTTCTTTTTTTATAAATATGCTACTAATGTTCATCCTCAGAAATTTTCATTCTTTGAATAAAACTATTGAGGATAAGCTTGCCAATTTACAATCATACATTCAAAATAATATCCATGCTCAGTACTCACCTTTTGAGTGGCTAACCAATTGGCTCCCTGATTGGTCCTGGCTCAGATAGTTTTTCTTTTATGCTATAATTATTATTATTGTACTAATTGTAACCTGTTGTTTTATTCAATGTATTCCAAATTTATTCGCATTGTTTTGTCCTGCTTTCCCCTCTCTTAATCCTCTACAATTGTGATACATTCATAAATCTTTGAATCCTCCATTTAAAATAAAAAATGAGGATATGTAGAGTTGTAATTGCAGGAATTTCTTTATCTTGGATGGCAAACCTCAGAGAAAAGAATGGTTCCAAGCAAATACAACTCAGGCAAATAAAGTTACTCATCTAAAAGAGGATTAGAGAGAGGAAGTAAACATATGTTGGACTTTGACTAGAGATCATTAATTGTGTTAGTTACTATGCTGAACAATAACGAAAGTCAAGCAGAAACCAAAGTTAACCAATGTTAGAGGATTACTAAAAATGTGTATAAATGCAAGACTAGATTCCAATAAAGATCATCATGATTCAGTTGATCATGATCAAACACCTCGACTGCCTCGTCATTACAACAGCGGCGCACCAAAATTTTCTCACTGCCCACCAGTGGGCCATGGCCCACCGGTTGGCGACCACTGATCTATACCCCCTCCTGCTCATGAAGGACATGCTATCCCACCTGGCCAAAGGGAAGGTCTTTACCAAATTAGATCTCAGAGAAGCATACTATCGAGTCTGCATCAGGGAGGGAAATGAATGGAAAACAGCGTTCAACTGCCCCCTAGGGAGCTTCCAATTCAAGGTCATGCCTTTTGGACTACAGGGTCCTCCGGTGTTGGGTTGCAAATTCACCCAGAGCCCGTCAGCTCCGAATATGCCTCGCAGCAAGTCAGCTGGCCATGTCACCTTATCTCTGGTGCTGCCGGATCTATATTTCTGCTAATGTGCTGGCCGATGGCTTTGGAATGACTCAGCAGAGCTGAGGATGGATTCTGCAACAACTGTGGGGCTGCTGGAACTGGCTCTTTATTGATGTGGTGCATATTGTTAAAGTGGGTTGGGGCACATATAGGTGGTAATTAGGACTTAGGTTAAAACATGGTGAAGGTGGCACCAGGTGGGGATCAGTTAGTGAGGGTCGGAATAGGGTAGGGATGTAGACATGTTATAGGGTTAATAGCATTTAGGGATAATGGGTTAGGCATGGCCAGAATTAGAACTGAGTATAGGCCTGGGTGTGGTGGGGTGTGTCTCATGATAATGGTGATAAAAGGAAAGGGAGAAAACTCAAACCCAACTCTAACCTTGCCTGGCTTTTAGCCATTCTTGCCTGATTACAGTATTTGTTGTTTGAAGCTATATTGAATAAACCATCACTGTCCTAAAGATGAGCTGGAGTTTGGATTCATTTAAAGACAAATCTTCAATACTCAAGGACTGGCTGAGACCCAGCAGTATTCATGCAGTTAATAAACGAGGTGGTACACGAACATCTTTATAAGGGGGTTCTTATTTACTTGGCTGACATTCTCATCTACATGGAGACGACCACATACCCCTAGTCTGCCAGGTATAAGAAAAACTTCTAGCAGCAAACCTGTATGTCAAGCTGTCGAAATGCGTATTTCACCATGCACAGCTGGACTACCTGGGCTACTGAGTCTCCAATGAGGGCATAGAGATGGACCCAGCCAAAGTACAAGCTGTTCTGGGCTGGCAACCCCCTCGTACCCACAGACAGCTACAAAGCTGCTTGGGGTTCGCAAACTTCTACCGACAATTCATCCTCTCCTTCACAAGGATTGCCAAACCCATGACAGAACTCCTAAAGACAGGGAGTCCAGGAACAAAACCCCACATGGGACAACCCCTACAGTGGGATCTAACCTGCCAAAAAGCATTTGAAACACTGAAAGAACTGTTTCCCAAAGAACCAGTACTGAAGCATCCTGACCCTGAACAACCCTTCATCATTCAAGCAGACACCAGTGATGTGGCAGTGGGAGTAGTGTTACTCCAAAGAAACAACCAAGGAAGTCTACAGCCCTGCGCCTACACTTCCTGCAAACTCACGGACACAGAGAGACAATGGGCTGCATGGGAAAAAGAGGCTTGCTCAGTGAGATGGGCACTGCAAACCTGGCCTCACCTGCTGGAAGGGGGGCAAAGACCATTCGAAGTCTGGACCGACCATAAAAACCTGGAAGCCCTTAGGACTCCGTGAAAATTATCACCCAAACAATTCCGATGGGCTCAATTCATCAAACAATTCGACTTTGTGCTAAAACACATCCTTGGGGGGGGGGGAGGAGGAACTTTCTGGCTGACACCCTCTCCCACATGCCCCAGTACAAATGTGAAAGGGAAGAGGTCGTAAACGCCATCATCCCCCCTGCCCAAATAGCTGCCCAAGTAACCACCAGACAACAACGCTGTGATCAGCAAGACCAACCTGCAGACGACCAAACTACTAGCAGACCTCTGGTTCCAGGACAATCAACACACCTTGACAAAAAGTGATAACCTGGCATGGAAGGGGACAAAACTCTACATCCCAGAATCCCTACGCACCCTAGTTCTTCAGAGAAGCCACGATGCCAAACCAGCAGGCCATGTTGGGTTCTTAAAGACTTTACACTTGGCTCGGAGGCAGTTCTGGTGGCCTGGCATAAAGAAAGACATAGACAGTTATGTGAAAAGTTGCGCCATCTGTGCCACAATGAAAAAACGACCAGGAAACCCCCCTGGACTGCTACAAATGGTAGCAGAGCCGATGAGGCCATGGGAGGAGATTGCAATAGACTTCATAGTGGACTTGCCGAAAAGTGGTGGAAACATGGTGATCTGGACTGTAATAGATTTATTTTCCAAACAGGCACATTTCATACCTTTTAGCAAACTACCTTCAGCCCGCCAGTTAGCCAAGCTGTTCCTGAAGCACATCTACCACCTGCATGGAGTACCACGGAGAATTATCTCAGACAGAGGGGTCCAATTCACAGCCAAATTTTGGAGGGAGTTCCTGCAGTCTATTGGGTCATCCCAGGGTCTTAGCTCGGCCTTTCATCCAAGCACCAATGGGGGTACAGAGAGATTGAACGCCATGATAGAGCAGTATCTGAGCTGCTACATGAATTATCAGGATTCCAATTGGGCGGACCTCTTGCCTTTCACGGAGGTCGCGTACAGTAATGCTGTCTCAGTAGCATGGGACTAACCCCCTTCAAGGTAGTGAACTTTGTCCCAATGCCTGAGTGTTGTGACTCCGGAGTTGGAATCTGTTCCGTTGGCAGATGTGAGCTCAAGCGAAGAGGAAATGGCAGTGAATTATGAGCCGGCACTGCTGAGCGATTTGGATTGTAGTCAGGAGGAGGAAATGGATTTAACTAGGAGAGACGAACCTGATTTAATAGAGATGTCAGGACCTTCGACCTCCTCTGATTCT